GTTGACCACACCTTGAGTAGGCATCTCCATAGGTGGCTTGGTAGATGACTCGATGGGCTAGATCATAGGCTTGTTCCACTTCCAGGTCATAGGAGGAGCCCCTATCTGTGACCCCATAGGCATATACAGAACCTACAGAGAAGGTGGCCCCTGAGATCTGGTTCCCTTCACTGTCCACATACTAGAGGCCAGGACCTGTCTTATCCCAGCCACAGATCATGGTGCCCATGGACAGTCCACGTTATGCTCTTTTAAGATCTATGTGTACGGGATCAAAGTGACAACAGCGACTTGAAAGATTAGATAGGAACCTTAGGGGGGAGTATGTTTATGTTAATAGGGGAGGAACAACTCAGAAAAGGCAGGTGAGAATGGTTACCCAACTCAAAGAATGTAATGATGGCACTGAATTGTACATGTAGAAACTGCTGAATTGGTGTATACTTTGCTGTGTATATTCTCGACACCAACAAAATAAAATTGAGAAAATAAATAAATAAAAAGATGATTTTCCCCCAAACTGCCCAGAAAAGGGCATGCTTTAATTTCCACCTCTACCTCAAAAGGGATGGTCGTGTACAGAAGGCTGAAAGACTAAGAAATTTACATTTACTGTGTGCTTACTACCTGCTATATAGCCCCCACTGTACCTCAGTGACTCTTCAAATAACCCTCTGAGGCAGGTATCATTATGATGCCCCTTTTCAGATTAGGAAACGAGGCTCAGAGAGGGGGAGTGACTTTCCCAGGTCACACAGCTAAGAGGTGACGAAGCCAGGACTCAAAGCCCAAACCTGTCTCACTCCAGGGCCTGCTGGCTCTCCAGACATGGACACAGAGGCCACCACAAAGAGGCTTCCACTTCAGAGCAGCGCATCACTCTCTAGGCTTCCAGCTCTCACTCCTTCAAGGCAGGAGCCAGGTGTGACCCATGCCAGGGACAGTCTGTGATCAACCCCATGAGAAACCAAAATATTTGTCTTGGTTCAGGCTCCCAGCTGATGCTCTGCCAGGGCCAGCCCAACTGGCTCCAAGGATGTGAGCACAGGATGTGCGGGAGCCCCTCAGACAGACCAGCGGACACAGGCCCAGGCAGCCTGGTGGTGCTGGTTCAGGAGAGGCCAAGAGGCTGGCACAGGTAGGCTGACACCCGGGATTAGGTGTGCCGCTGTGTGCCTCTCATGCCCAGCCCAGGAAGAATGTGCGACAGCCAGGAGCACAGACTCACAGTCCTCAGGCTCAGCTCTGACTGTGGCCTCACCATGGAGGGGTTGGGTGATTCCAGGCAAGTTCCTTAAATCTCTTCAAACCTGTTTCTTTTTTCATAAACGGGGATACTATCCCCTGCTTCCCAAGGCTGTCGTGAGGCAGGCCAAGTGAGACAGTGCAGGTGGAAGCAAAGCTTAGCCCAGACCCTGGAACACAGCAAGTGTTCAACTTCAATAAACGGCCCCTGGGACAGACTCTGGAGTCCCTGGGAGGCATAAACAGTTAAGCACTTGGTTGCTAGCCCAAAGGTTGAAAGTTCGAGTCCACACAGAGGTACCTGGGAAGAAAGGCCTGGTGATTTACTTTCAGCCATTGAAAACCCTGTGGAGCACAGTTCTATTCTGACACACATGGGGTCACCCTGAGTTGAAGTCAACTCTATCTATAGCAACTGGTTTCAGTTTTTTGGTTTTGTGACAGACTCTGTTGCCACTCCCCCCTTCTTCCTTGCTCACAGAACTCCAGCTGTGTTCAGGGCAGCCACGAGCCCAGCCACAATAAATCCTGAGTGGTTTAACCTGGTGGCGCAGTGGTTAAGAGCTTGGCTGCTAATCAAAAAGGTCGGCAGTTCGAATCCACCAGCCACTCCCTGTAAACTCGCCAGGGGCAGTTGTACTCTGTCCTATAGGGTCGCTATGGGTCAGAATCGACTCAACGGCCACGGGTTTGGTTGTCTTTTTTTTGGTCTAACCCAGTGCTTCTCAGGTGGAGGTGATTTTGCCCGACACCATTTCTGGAGACAATCTTGGTTGTCACGACTTGGGGGTTCTAGTGGGAAGAGGCCAGGGATGGTGCTGAGCATCCTACAACACACAGGACAGCTTCACAACGAAGAATTGTCTGGCTCTCAACGTCAATATGCCCAGAGAAGGAGCTCTGGTGGGGGCCAATCGTGACTATCGGGTTCCTCGCATTCCCAGCCTTCCTCGCAGCCAGGAGGACATCTGTGACCCAGAAATGTCCAAGAGGCCCAGGACAAAGTCATCTGGGGGCTTCTAGAAATGTCTTTTCCTCATAGAAGGGACAGGCATGGCTGCCCTACCATGCCCTCCCCACTTTGCTTTTTCTCCTTGAATGTGGCAGTGATCCTGGGGTCCTGGAGTCAAAAGGCCAAGATAACAGGGAGGCCGGTCCTGACTCTGTCCCGCCGCTGAGTCAGTGCTCCTGGCCATCCACCACCTGACTCCTTGTTACTGAGAAAAAGTCACTGCTATTTGTTTAAGCCACTCAGATTACGTTTTTCTCTTGCAATGTTAACAGATGCAGACGTTATTAACAAAAAGGGGATGAAGTTTACATCATCTCATGAATTTTAAAACAGGCAAAAGTCAAAGCCGAAGTCCTTACGATGGCCTGCCAGCAAAACATATATGATCCGGTCCCGTTTCCTATCAGGTTCCCCGTGGCCCCTCAGCCGCCCTGGCTGACCTTGAACATGCCCCAGGCCTGGCCGCCTGTTCCCTCTGCAAGAATCCTCCTCCCCTGGCTCTCTGCCGTGCAGTGTCGCCTAACCATCCCATCCAACACTCCCTCCCACCCTTTTCCCCAGCACTGGTATCTACAAGTATCTTCTTTACCTACCTGTTTTTTCCTCTCTCGCTCCTTTCCTCCTCCATTCCCTTCCTCTCTTGCTCTCTCCCTCCCTCCCTCTGCCACTGAATGCTGGCTACATGAATGCAAGGGCTCGACTGTCCCTTTCACGGCCATATCCCGGTAGCTCCTCTCAACACCGTGCCCGGTGAAACAACCGCACAGCGCACAGTAGGCCCTCAAACACTCAGTGAAGGAAGGAAAGAAACCAGCCGCCTTCCTTCTACAGTATTTATTAATTCCATTTTCAAGATCAGATCATTTTAAAACTCATTTAAAAAATCACCTGAAAATTCCTCTCTAATAAATAATATACCTCTAATTCGCAACCTTTTTAGATTATGCAAATGAACCAAGTCTTTCGAAAACAAGTTCTGACCAATCCCTGGCAGAGTTTTCGAGCAAGTCCATCCTGGAGAGTGGCTGTGGCCGACAGCCCTGGCTCTGCTCCATGGAAGGGCTCTGCAGTGTGGTCAGTACGCCACACCCCGCATGGCAGCTATCGTGGCGGCGAGGCGGCGGGGAAGGCTTTTGGTGGCCTGTCTGTAATCCTCAGGTTTGGTCTTCAAGAGCGTCACGATGTTCTGGAGAGTGCGGGATGGCTGCAGGCCCAGGGCATCCATCACATTGGTCAGGTAGTCTGTGGGTGCACGGGGAGGATGGGCTCAGCACCAAGAGGGACAGAGCCCCGAACGGCCTTCCCTGAGTGACAAACACAGAAGTCCCCCAGCCCCCTGGCCCTGGGTACCCGCTCTGCCCTCAGCAGGCAGGCCTTGACTCAAAGATTTTACAGACAGGGTCAAGCCTGTGAGCTTGGCCTGGGTCCAGGAGTTCTAACTTAATAAAGAGCTACCCAACA